GCAGAGGGGCACGAGGGTGAGAAGGGTGGGGAGTGAGGGGCAATCGAGTGCCCTTGGGGATTGGGGCGCGGGAGGGGGGACACTGGGGGCCGAAGGCGCCGGGGCTGTGGTCTGCTGGGGAGACTTCAGAACTTGATTAAGGAAAGAGGTTGAGTCAGGTGGTCAGGAGCCTCCGGAAGGAGGGCGCTGGGATGCAGGGAATGGACTTTGGGCTCGGTCTTCAGAACCCCACTGCTCTTGAGTCAATTCTTTCCTCCTCACGCCACAAGCAAACCTACAATGCGAAGGGCTTACCCTGGATGATTCTCTGTGATTGCCCTCAATACTCTTTACTTGCCGAAACCATCCGGCTATTGCCGAGACAACGTCCCTGTGTCTTTCGCGCCCTCTAGCGGCGGCGCAGATTGAGCTATTCTGATGGGATAACAAATTGGCGCCCCCTGGTGACCCGAGTGATCGCTTGGGTGGTGGGAAAGAAGCAGGGTTCCCTACGGTCCGGACGCCTGGCCCTCGAGGTCACGTGGGTCCTAGGGTGCCAGCAGGCTCTCTGAATGCCAGCGCCTCCGTAGCTTGCCTGCTGCAGTCGGAGCTGGTGAACTATGAGCGCGTGCGCGAGTACTGTCTAAAGGTGCTGGAGAAGCAGCAGGGCAACTTCAAGGCCACCTACCGCGCGGGCATTGCTTTCTACCACCTCGGCGACTACGCACGCGCGCTGCGCTACCTGCAGGAAGCCCGCAGCCGAGAGCCCACAGGTAAGGGGCGGGGCTAGAGCAGAAGGACCGAGGGTGGGAAGAGCAGGCAGAGTAGAGGCTTCCTCCCAGGAGCTGCCCTAAGGGAGTTGTTGTGCCGCCCACTGGATAGCCTCGCCCCATCCGCCTACTCTTTACCCATCACCCCCCACCATTCATCCATCCCTTTAGTCAACGTCCAGGCGTCCACTCACCAGCCTTCTCTCCGACATCTACCCAAACAGTTCTCATCTAGTCCCTGACTCATCCTGAAACCTCCCTGTGCAGCCCCTTCCGGGTCTATCCACCTATCCTCACCTCCCTTACCCCAAGCCCTGCCCTCGTTCCTCCACTTCTTCACTAAGCCTTCACACGCTCACCTACTCATTCACTTCTCAGTGAGTGGGTGCACTCACCCAGCCGAGGCAGGTGACACCAGGAAGCCGTGTGTGTGGGGGGTGAGATTTGGGTGGCAGAGCTGGAGGCTTGTTCCCTGCCCTTTGGGAGATGATGAGGCTCACGCGTGTCCACGGGCATTCAGCCCGACCTGGCACTCGGTTTTGTATCACGTCCCAAGGAGGAGGAAGGGTCACAGCAGGCGCATGGGACAGGTGGGAGCAGAGGCAAGATTAGCTTTTCCGTGAAGAAGCTCCGTGAGAACAGACTTCTCGCAGATGTCCCCGGGGGCTGAGTGAGCATGACAGGAGTCTGTGCAGAGGTGCTCCTGGCAGGGGTGCAGCACGTGCACGGATGGTGGTGTGAAATGTCTTTGGCTGCTGGTTGCAGCTGAGCATTTGGGGAAGGGGAGGTGAAACACTGGGGCTGGCACAGTGCGGGGGAGCTGCAGATGTAACTGGGCGGCCTGAGGACACCCAGGTGATGCCCTGCCCACCTCCCCTGCAGACACCAATGTCCTCCGCTACATCCAGCTGACTCAGCTGAAGATGAGCCGCTGTAGCCTCCAGCGGGAAGACAGCGGGGCTGGGTCCCAGGCTCGGGATGTGGTGGGCTGAAGCAAAGGGCTGCTTGCTTCCACCCTCCCACCTCGCTGTGGAAACTTCCCCACTCGTGTGTGTTGGTAAAGCATTTCTCTCTGGTGACGATAACCTCTTTGTGTGGTGCTTTTGTGGGGACCAGGAAGGGAAGATGGGATGGTGTCTCAACCCTTGACCCTTAGAAATCCAGGAGGCGTGTGGGGTACAGGAGTCTCCCTGAGGGACAACCCAACATCAGGGCTTGGACTGGGGAAAGACACAGCCAAGGGAGGTAGGGGGCAGGGGTTACCTTTAATGCTTCCTCTTGTGCGAAATCCCCCACGATGCCCTGTCCCTGAGTATCCCTGCCCACCCTCCCCCCACTGCAGGGTGGGCACAGGGCTCTACCCCTGGGTACAAAGGAATAAATTAAGATCCCCTCCCTCCCTCCTTCCCCAATAAATAGAGTGAGCATCCTGCCCAGGACCTCTGCGCCTTAGAGCATGGCAGGCTAGGGCGGGGCCTGGGGCGCTACATTCATGGCTGCCCAGGCGGGTGGTGGTGGGTAGGCCTCAGTGGGAGCCCCGGGCCCCACACAGCGGCACTGTGTTGTCCTGGCTCTGCCCCTCCATGTCCATGTCCAGCAGTGTGGGCTGCACGCCGGGGGGCCCTGGGCTCTCCGGAGTGTCTGGCCTGCTAGGAGGCGAGAGGCTGAACGTCCGGCCGAAGGAGACCAATTTCCAGGGGTCCAGGCGGGGGCGGTTGGCAGCTGGCCGGGGTCTTGGGGTGAAGGTCAGGGTGGTGGGGCGGCCAGGGAACTCGGGGGGCCGGCGGCGGGTAGGGAACAGGGCCTGGGGGTCAGGCAGGCGGGGGAAGTCCAGGGGGTCTTGAGGGCCTGGGGAAAGAGGAGCAGAGAAGGTGAGCAGGGTGGGACAAAGGGTGGGACTTCAAAGCCAGGGACATTTATACGAAAGTACAGTTTCTGGATTCTCTTGCAAAATCCTCTCACAAATCCCACAGACCTTGCTGGCCCACTTTCCAGCAAGACAAGTGCACCTGCAGCCCCGCAGCAGTTGGGACTCCAACTTGTTCCTTCACTCCTGGTGGCTCACTCAGGTGGGGGCGACAGGTTGTCCCTTAGCCTTTCAGGGGGTTTTTAGTGGCCCTATGACAAACTCCTGTCCCTCCTACACCGGGCTAGGTTCAGGTGGACAGACATTAGGCATGACATCGTCTCTGAACGGGGATCAAACAGCTCCTCACAACCTAGCACAGGATGAGGTAAAACAGTAGCTAAAACAAGCACATGGCACCGGTGGGGTTAATTCCTACCCTCACGATCACTTACATGGGGTTGTAAGGGTACAGATGCCAAGGCTGGGCAGAGTTGGCTGTAGCCCTAGTGTTGCTGTAGTATCCGTTTGCCACCCCTAATTCCTCCTGGGCCTGTCACCCACCCCCCACACTGCCTCGCAGTGAGGGCTTGGAAGGCAGCTGCTCCCTCCCAGGTGCTCCCATGCGGGGCAGGGCAGGAGGGCGGGTTTCTGCGCTCGAGTGTGCAGTGTGCAGCGCTCACTCACCAGGGCCGTGGCCCGCAGGGTCAGGCGGCCCCCGCTGCCCCAGCGCCCCGTCCGATGGCGTCCGCCGATGTCCTCGGCTCACAGCGCGCGTGGCTGTGATGTGGGTGGGCGTGAGCGACTGGCGGGGG